ACCCCTAGAGAGGAAATACTGGCCAGTGTCACAAACCAGGACAGCTTTTTGTTGGTCCAAGTCCTCGATCTTTCCCCTGCCCAACCCTTGTCCTCAGTCCGGTACAGATAACAGTGTGAGATGGGGCAGGGGCCAGGGCCCGGCCAGGGGCCAGAGACCTCGGGACAAGGAAATGAGGACCCTGGGACTGACTACCTGTCTGAAAGACCTCTTTTTAAGGATGAGCAATAAATAAGACAAGGTTATAGTGACTGGACAGGAAAACCAGGGGCACCACTTACAAAATGAGAGAGGGAGCCAGGCACGGCGGTGCTTGTCTGTCATCCAGCACTTGAGAGGCCGAGGCAGGAGGAGCACCAGGATCTCAAGGCCAGCCTGGCTATGACTTAGTGAGTTCAAGGCCACCCTGAACTACTCAGTGAGACTCTGTCTCAAACCAAAAATAAATACATAAATCAATTTTTAAAATAACAAGAGAGGGTCTGTCCACAGTGTGGCTTCCTGCTTTGACCCAGGTCAGGAAACCTCAAGGTATTCCTTGGGTGACATACTGCCCAGAAATCAGCCTCAGCAGCCCTGGTCCCCACCCTTAGCACCTGTCCCTGCTCCTGGCCGCTCTGACGCTGCCCTCCTGCTCGCTGCTGCTGCTCCAGGGCCTGCTGCCACCCGCAGTCCCCTCCCCGTGCTCCTGTCTTCATCCTCTCTCTCCTAGTGAGTGTTCTCCCTTCAAACCCGCTTCCTCTCCAGCCGCCCAGAACTTGCTCCATACCAAGGACTCTTTAGGCCACGCTACTCAACCAAGTCCTTCCAAGTTCACCTCCAGATCGGCCCTGCCCCTGCAGCCCCGCAGCCTGCATCTCAGCTCCAGGCCTTGTCAAGGGAGCCCAGACCTCAGCCGCTCTTCTGGACAGCGTCCCTGGCAGACGCGGCCTCTCCTCTCCCCAGCCTGTCCCCCTGCACCCTACAGCGAGGAGTCCCTGGCCACTGAGCTCCGCCTGTCTCCTCTGCCCTTCAATGTTGACCTGCACTGAGGCATCACGTGGAAGCAGGAAATTGCGCATCCCACGTCTGGTCTGGTGAGCTCTCATGCACTGAGCTCACCCACACATCCAGCTCTGGAAATAGGGCACCTCGGCACGCAGAACCCTCTCCTGTCTCCTTTCCCCTCCATCACTCTCCCCACTGAGGGCAACCGCTGCGCCAACGTCCCACACCACAGTTTGGACGCGTCCTTTTGGAGTCCAGTTCTCACTGTATAGTTCAGGCTAGCCTTGAACTCACAGCATAGCCACGACTGGCCTCACACTCGGCCTCCTGAGTGCCGGGTTCACAGGTGTGAGCCACCACACCTAATTTACACATGCCTGCTTTTGTACTGTGAAGAAATGAAATTACACAGCAATATTCATTTTGTTTTGTTTTGTCTGAGGCAGTGTTGCTATGTATGCCAGGCTAGCCCTAAACTCGCTATGTAGCCCAGGTTGGATTTGAACTCCTGGTGATCCTCCTGCCTCAGCCTCCTAGAGTACTGGAGTTACAAGCCTGTGCAACCATGCCTGGGTGCACAGCACATACTCTTATGTCCAGTTTCTTTGGTTCAATACTGCTTGGGAGATTTGACAATTTTGCGCCTTGTCGGGTGTGGTGGCACACACTCAGAACTTGGTAGGCTGAGGCAGGCAGGAGGATTGCTGCAAGTTCAAGGCCAGCCTGAACTACATAGTGAGATTCTGTATCAAAATAAACAAATAAATATTTATTTATTTTTTATTATTTTGGTACCGGGGATGGAACTCAGGTCCTTGTGCTTGAGCAGCAGCAGCAGCAGCCGCAGCAGCAGGGGGCGAAACCACTGAGCTAAATCCCAGGCCCATGAATACATAAATACATAAATAAGTTCTCCACCTGCCAACTGTTCCGGCTTCCAACTCAGGGCCGTGGTCTCCCTCCAGAGCCTGGAATGGTGGTTTTTATATTTTCTCAGAGTTCAGCGCTTTTACCTGTCTGAGCATTGATTTGGTAGCAGGGGCTTTGCCATTACCAGAAGCAGAGCCTCTCCTTTTCCATTCTTTTTGTTTTCTCCCCTTTTCCTACTTTCTTCTGGATTCCTGAATTTATTATTGGCCATCTTCAGAAAATAAGCAAACA